CTGACCTGCTTATTGTCCTCCCCATCTGTGTCCTCTTCACACTTGGAGCATGCACACGCGCCCATACAAACACACAGCAACTACCAGAAGTTTTGAAGAGTTATCGCTTTTTCACCCAATGTTGAATCATGTACAGTGAACCGGAGGGAAAAAAAAAAAAAAAAAAGAAAACCCTACATTCATTATGACAGGATTAGCGAGCATGGGAGGGGAGGTGAACTCCTGCCAAGCACAGGAAACAATTTGGATACAAGTAAAAGACCTGGTATCAAAGGCCTTTTTCCAGCCCTCACCAGGAAAAATTTTCATCTCTCAAATGGGGCTGGGAGAGGTTGAAAGGATTTCTGCTTATGCAACGTGTATTAAAAATTATGGAATTGTACAGATTTCTATGTTGTCCTTTCAGAGGGCGCTGGGCCTTCTGATCAGGTGGTTAGCGGAGACCGAAATGTCACTGTTGAGTGTCAGCACCACTCTCCTCTAGCTCAGTAGCTGCCGAATCTCCTTGTGCATGTGACACAGGAAGTCCACATATGAAGCCCCCCCACAGAGGCTCTTGTCCTCCACAAGAAAGTGTTTGAACAGCATCTCCAGTTTATCTTCTTGCTTCACAATTATTAACTAAAAGAAAAAAAATATCAGTGAGTTAATATTAATTTTCTTGGAAAAATAAAGATCACAGCATAGTTTATGTACTTTCACTTCTATAACTATTCACCAGAAAAATACTAATGCACAAACCTTGGATATGGTATGTTACAATAGGTCTGAAAAATTCTATTTTTAGGCAAATGAGCAGAGTTATTGCACTCTCAGTCAACAGTGAACAGAAACATAAGTCTGGAGATTAGGGATCTGCCCCAGCTACTTTATGCCTAATTTCAAGTTGCATATTTAACATTACACCTTCTGTTTCCCCTTCTGGAAGGGCAAAAATGAACATCTGTTTTACTTCTGTGAAGCCCTGGGTCTAGAAGAAACAGGCAGTATGAGAAAAAATATAATAAAGGGAATTTATATTAGTTATCATGTGACTAAAAGTCCAAAAGTACACTAGATCATCTAAAAATCACAGAATCACAGAATCATTTAGGTTGGAAGGGACCTCTGGAGATCATCTAGTCCAAGCTCCCTGCTCAAGCAGGGTCACCTAGAGCAGATTGCCCAGGATCACATCCAGACGGGTTTTGAATATCTCCAGGGAAGGAGACTCCACTACCTCTCTGGGCAACCTGTTCCAGTGCCCAGTCACCCTCACAGGAAAGAAGTTTTTTCTCAGGTTTAGGTGGAACTTCCTGTGGTTCAGTTTCTGCCCGTTGCCTCTTGTCCTGTTGCTGGGCACCACGGAGAAGAGGCTGGCCTCATCCTCTTGACACTCCCCCTTCAGATACTTGTACACGTTGATGAGATCAATGTTCTCTCTGAACATTTTAAGGTCCTAATCAGCTAACCTGACAGCATCCATTACAGTGCTTTCCTAATACTGCAGAGATACTCTGCAAACCAGTCCTCTTCAGAGCATCTTTGCACCAATAGCTCATGTTTAGCTGTGTCATCAAAAACAGGTCCAGAGTGCTAATGCCCAAGAATAGTCTTAATACCACCTACTGCAACTTTCTGGTTTGAGAAATATGCGTTTGGTTTTCAAAAAGCTTTTAAAAAGCTTGCTGAGGCAAGGTTAGTTCATGAAGCCCCCAAACCACAATCTTAGCAGTAGGGGGTGCTAAGACCCCCTCACTAAGGGGGGGAGGCACACTGACCAACAGGAAAGCCTGTTTAATTTGCCCAAATTATCCTTTATGATACCCTCCCCTCTATTTTTCATCTTGAAAGTAGAGAAAAAATCTCTAGAATAGCTGAAAGTGCCCCGGCTGTGTCTAAATTGATGGTAGAAATTATGGTCCCCCCCTCCCCGCCAATGTGTAACTGTTATCCCTTCTCCAACTGCATAGCTTCAGAGGAATCATTGCTTCACTTATTCCACTCCTACCAGATGCATCCCAAAAACTTTCCTGAGAATTACAGGCATCGGAGCCATGTACCAGTTCTTTAAGTCTCATGGCACTGGGTAACAGGTCCTAGTCATGCTTGATTGGGAGCTGGTACAGGTGTTAAGAAAAAGATCCAGTCTACAGTGGCCATCTATAAATCCCTTCTGTCAATGGAAAAAAGCAACATTTATGCACAATAACAGCAACAAGAGTACTAAGCTAGGCATTGCAAAAAACACCCTGGAAAGACAAACGTGCTGAGGTAAGCACAGAAATCCAAGACTAGCAACTGAAGTCATTTCTGATCCTTAAAAACTTATAATATGTTTGAACCACAGTGACGAGATCAGGGAGAACAAGTTCAACATTACAGTTTATGAGTAAGACCACATTTATACCTTCATGTAGCGGGATCTCTGCACTTGAAGCATGTCAACAATAGATCGTACTTTCTTTGAAAAAGGGTTTTCCAAGACAGGCAGAGTACTCTAGAATGCAAGATAGCCAACCCTCATTACTCTCATAAACAAATAGAGCACCATTAAACGAAAAATTCAGTTTTGCTATATTACATACATTAAAAAATACATCTATCTCACTAGCAATCTCTTTGATGACCTCAACTAATTAAAACAGAAGATTACAAAACCGATCAGAATTACACACCAACTGTTAGTTCCATTTAAACATCAGGTGTTCTCCTTACTGTCAGTGAAATATGGCTTGTTGAATAAGCTAGGCAAAAGTGTGCCCAGCATGCCCAGATGAGGGGTGTTTGCACTTCAGAACGCTGCACAGAGTTCACCAGAAAATTAATTCTTTTATCGGCTTCTCCACTGTTCGTAGTATGAAAGTTTTAAAACCATTTTCTGAACTTGGTTTCTTATTCCTTTAAGCATTGGGTGACTATCACAGACATTAGCTCCTGCACTGCCATCCAGCTCACCAAAGCATTGCTGATCTGGCTGAAGGATGACACTCCAAAGAGGTTCTGGATCAGGCCTTGCTGCACATTCACTCCCACCCACACAAAGATGTTCAGCCCATTTTCCAGCAGATATATGTCACCCTTGGAGAGGCGTTCCTCTGAGTTCCGGATTGCTGCTGGCAAGGAGTCACTGTCAACATCTGCTTTGGTCTGTTTCACAGTGAAATTAAAAAATAAAAATAAAAGTCACAGTTATAAAGCAAGAGCATCTGAGGAAGTGAGGAAAACTTCTGCCTCTAAGACTCCAATGGACTACTGATTTGTAAGACTCACAGCTAGCTGCTAGCATGTTTTTTTGTAAACTGCAGAATCTGTAACGCTGCATTAGCTGTGACTGAAATATTGTTTTCCTTCGCTTACTTTTCCTATTTAACACAACATTAAAACAGATTGGAGAATATTTAGCAAAGGAGAACAGAAGGCTGTTGTGAAAGCATTCTGCAGTTCCAATACTGGCTCCTGGAGCAGCAATGTAATTAGCAGTCTGTGTTATTCGAGTAATCATGGTACTGAAAAGTCAGAATAGTAAGTGGAGTTTCCATGTGATTTAAATTATCACATAACATTACAAGAAGCTTTAGGATTTTTAAGATTACCAAAGAATCAAAAAAGTCTTCTTCACCACTGGTCACATGGAATAGGTCAGGGAAAATCCCCCAGCAAATTCACAAGATGCACTAATGCATCTGTCTCTAAGTGAAATTAAATGGAGCACCCAGATAGACGGCAGGTCCCAAATCCTTCTCAAATAGCTTTCCCTTGATGAGATATGAATATCAGTCCTTAGGGTAAGGCAAGACAACAGCAAGTCTCAAGTGGCAAGTGTATCCTGAATTACTCACCAGGGGCAAAAGCCTGGGATAAAAGAAAACGTTTGTTTCTGCCACATCCATGGATGTAACTAACTGACGAATGTAGGCGCGGTCATCTGTTGTGACCTCCGGACCAGGCTGAAGGACATCACTCTTCAACACACAGTTCAAGTACACAGGAAGCAGCTTCATGCATTCAGGGAGGATCAGCTACAAATCACAAGCAGAGCAAGCAGACAGAAGTTGATCACCTGTCTTGTTAAATAAAGCAATATTGCCTATGCTTAACAAAACAAGGCTTGCATGAGTCAACAAAGCGCAAGACAGATGTGAGGAGCGAACCCCGATACTCTAATTATATTTTGGACTTGCAGAAATAACATAAAAAGTTTCCCTGGAAGAGGTAACGATTTCTGGGCTCCCGATAGATGTCCAGGAAGCCATCCTCAGCTATGGTTTTACTTGCAGGCTCTCTACTTCCCTGAATCTTCTCTTTGCAAGTCTCTGCTGAACAACGCAATTCACTTATTTGAACAGGTTGGAAGTGATGAGAGCTTCCTCCTTCCTCTTTTAACACCTGAACCTGAAATTCAAATCAAAGCTGAATTTACCTGGCCAGCAGAGGAGGGACTAGCACAGTTCTTCCGATAGCAGGCCAGGATCTGGGCACACTGGTTAATCAGCGCATCTCGTACAGTCTTTACTGGACTGTTCAGAACTCCACGATATGCTGCAGAGAGGTGAACAGTTATCAACTTATTTATGCAACACTGCTCAAACAGGAAAAACAACAAAATTCCCACCACTTCCACAAATTAAACGACTATTATTTATGAAAGCTTGTTTTTCCTTCAAACTTCTGTGGGAAACATACATTCCTACTGAAGATCCAAAGAAGCTTCTCTCTCCTGTTTTACTACCTTTTCTTCAACTCTCTCTCCCATATACTTTAAAGTACAGTTAGCTGTACTTGAAAGCACAGGGTACTAGAAAAACTCCTTTTAGAGTCTGGCCACCTTTCTTTAATGATAAGGGATGTTTCTTAAGCTTTTCACCTATCTGTAGCTCTTGTCCTAAGCAACCATATTATCATTACAACTTTGCGCTCTTTCCTGGAAAGGACTGAATTATCAGGATTGCCACCTGACATTTGATACAAAGAGACTAAACAAGTGACACTTGAATTACAACAGGTATTTTAACAACAGTAAAAGGCTAGGACTCTTCACCATATTTAACCTTACCATATTTAGCCAAGTAATTGATGAGGGTGTCTGTCTCACAGTTTCGATAGAGGTCAGCCAGTTGCGTGCAACAGTTTAAGGAGAGGTTGTGAATGCGGAGTCGTCGCTGTCCTGCGCAACTTGTATATAATAGAGCACACTGTAGGAGACAAAAATGCCAAGATACAGAAGAATGAAGCCCTGGAACAATAAGAAAGCCTAGACTTGAATACACTTCCTTCAAAGGTAGGACTCAGTTGCCTAAGCAAATAAGAATTTTTAAAGGTTTTACACAATAAGCTAGCAGCATATGCTAAGAATTAGAGTTGATGAAAGATAACAAGCAGCAATGTCAGCAGTTTATAAAAAGGGAGCTGGTCTATGCGAGAAAGATTGCGGCTTGAAGCAGTCTCTGTCACCCTGAGAACGTGTTCCTGAAAGTTTACGGCCATAGTAAAGGGCAGGAGGGGAAAAAAACAGCAACAAAAAAACCACCACAATAAACCGCTCCCTATGGGAGCATACAATTCAGCTTCAGAGCAACAGCTCCTTTCAGCTCTTTTGCAACTGGTGTTCTCTCCAGTTAAGATTTGGTTCACTTTGCACGTTTTTGTCTACAGTTCTGACAGCTTGCTTCTTCCTTCTGCAAAACTTCCCCCCTCTCACCTGAAGGAGTGCACCGCTGTCTTCACTCAGTTTGTCATCGTGCTTGAATTCCACTGTGATGGTTTTATCGCAGTCCAAACCTGCCATCTCCACATCAGTTGTGTTGCTCATATAGAAAGCTCCAAAAAAGTCAGTGGCTCGAATACCTACAAGAGAAAAAACGACCTCATTTTTCACCTAAAAGACCGCCTCGAGAGCCCCAAAAATCCTATCATCAGGGACACTTAATTATCTTGACAAATTCTCAGCAGGGATCTTTGTTCAGTCTTGACAAAATCCTTGCAATTTCAAAGCTTTAAGATAGCTTTTTGTATAGCCTTGCCTCAGGATGTTCTAGATTATGGAAACATCTGTTACTTCCCATATGCTATACTTGAAGTGGTCAGTTCATTAAGACTCAGGTCATGCTAAGACCCACCTGTGCTGGTACGCACTCTCATCACAGCATCAAACCCCACTTCTTTCTGGACATCTCTTCTCAAGTCATTCAGGAACCTATCCTGGTCTGTCTCCAGCTAAAACACAAGCAATAATTCAAATTTCACACTCCATAAGTCAGAGCTGTTCTACAGGCCATCAAGTAATTTAAAAACAAATATTTCCTGAAGCTTTACTCTAAAATCAGTTGCCATACAGGGCTCAGTGCCCTACTAATTCAATATCATACAAAAAGTTAACAGCATAGCATATTTTTTGTTAATAGTCATTTTGTCTAAAGACATAAAGCTAGCAGTTTAGTTTCAAAGGATTTGCTCGCTATGGTTCACACTATATGACAGACCTGGTAACTAAACAATAAGCCTTATTCAGATCAAACAACAGTCTAACTCCACGAGGCTCTTACCTGGAAATAAGCATACTTATAAATGGAGCCTCCTGTCTGGTAAGTTACTACCCCTAGCGTCGCCACATCCAAGTACTGGTTTGGAAATAGGAACAGATCCACACAGCAGCCCTGGGCCACGCAGTCCTTGGCCAAGTTGTTGTAGAAGCTTGTCTGGGGTTGAAACAAAGTCTGAAAAAGGAAGCCCGAGATCAGATCAAAAGTTGGTGGTAGGAAAAGGAAAGCAAGACCCAAGTAACAATCATAGTCAATACACTTTTATACGTTGAGTCTGCCTTCAAGGTATGTAGTCACTGAAATTCTTCCTGACCCTGCCTTTAAAGAACTGTGTAATGTCCTGAAAACTAAAATGCATTTTACTTTAATTACAAGCAAGTTCTGCATATTCATTTTGCAGATTTCTCCCATGTAAGACTCTTCACTTTCCTTGCTCTCCCATCAGAGCTGTCCTTACCATGTCATGCCTACTCAGCTTTGCTTGAGAGCAGAAGATAAATATGCAATATAAAAAATGACTATTAGCCACGATGGTTACATTACATACTACCTTTCTCGTTCTTTTGAGGTTATTTCAGAGTTATTTTATCCTATAAGGAGTATAACAAAGACCTGTACTATAAGCACTACACAAATCATTATTACCTTCTCCTTGTCTGTGTTGATTAGTTTCTTGTCATCCCTGTTCTTCAGCTTCCCTGGGGCCTCCGCAATGGGCAGAGAGGTGTGGAAAATGAAGAGCTTGCCAGCACACTCAGCTGCCTGCAGGAGAGGGAGTGAAATTGTTCAGATTAGAAACACTTATAAAAAATTTAAGGGAAACGGGAAATCAACAGCATCTGCATTTTCATTGCTTCATTTCTTTATGTCAGGCATAGAAGGCATTCTATCGCAGACACGTAGGCTCAGTAGCCACTTTGTTATATCAGTGGTACTCAACACGTGGAAGCACAGCTTACTGGTCAGTTACGGAGAAGCAAGTTTCAGTTCTACTGGACCTTTGCTAGTTCCATGGCAAAGAGAAAGGGCCTGGCTCCAAGGGGACACAAGGCAGTCAATTTTCCGAAGCAGGACTCAGCTACAAGAATTTTTGCACAAATGAGCTAAGGATTACTTTCTTCTCTGAATTACAGCTACTGAGTTTGTGGAAAAGGAAAACTCAAACACCAAAGGATTTTGGGACCTGAGCTTCAGCAGATAATTAAATCAACAACCTATGCGAATGCTAGTCAATATTTAGTAGGTTATTTTCTCTGACACATACACAGTGAACAAATGAAGTGATGAATTACTATTATTTCTTGATGTAACTGAACAGAAGGGACATCTGTCACAAGAACTAGGATTAAGAGAGCCTTCTAAGAACTCCTAGGACAGACAGACAAAGCAATACAAACAGGCTTGGGTAGCATCATACAGACAATGAATTCAATCAGCACATACAAGTTTTAGTTGGATCACACATGCAATTGCAATGATCTGTATGAAGTATTGGAATGGAAGACCCTTAGGAAAGATTTACTTGGTTAGCACATTGGTGTGGAGAACTTCAGATTGCATCTTCTCCTTTTATTTAAGTTTATACCAGAGCTCAAGCACAGGCCTAGAAATACACTGTTACAGTATTCTCTCAATGAGACGCAACAGAGTACAGCACCTGGGTTTAATGCCAGAGGGTCTTTTTTTGTAGATTCTGTAAACCGTCCAAAACAAAGTACAGCCAGGTCATTGAGATTAAATCATATGCCTTGTACTTTGAGTGAAAACGATTAAGCAAGTGGGTAGAGAACAGATAGCCAGCTACAAAGAATCAGAGGTACGTGCACTTGAAGAAATGGACCAAGTATTCCCTACATGTAAGCGCATCTACCACAAGGAGACTTATGAAATGCTTTAAAATTCTTATTGGTGTGTGTTGACAGAACATGAAATTCGGAGTACTCAGACTTCTAAAACAACTTGCCATGACAATGCATTTACAAACCTTCAGTGCCTCCAACCCTGCTTGGATCACAGGTGCAAAAACGGTTTCTGTTTCTCTTGTGTCTGCAAACATTTCTGGGATCTGGTCCAGCAAACTAGCAAAGAACAAGAAAAAGAAGGCAGTCAATAAGATTCAACTCCATTGGTAAACCCAGAGTTGCAGTCAGTGACCTATGAGACTGAGGTGGCTTAATCAGAAGCCCTTAATGCATCTGCTCATTCCATGGATTTCCACAATTTCTACAGTATATGGAATCTTTTTGCTTATCTATAAAAAAATTGATGCTTTGTCATCCTTCACTGACTTCCCCCGTTTGCATTGACTTCTTCAGTGCTTATGTATAGGCTCAACTGATGCCTACTCTAATAGCTATTCTGTATTGTTTTTAATATATTTCAATGAACTGGTAAATAAACTCTTAGGGAAGACGAGTAACACTTTGCCTCTGTTTGCCAAACGCCCTGTGTACTACTCACAGACTAATGTCTTTAACCTACAATTTTGTATTTGTGCTTGTTAATGGATTATAAAATAGTCAAGAAACTTTCTTTAAAAACATGCTTTGCCCAGTCTAGTTCTCAAAACCTAGTTAGCTACACACCATGGTTTAGTTCCCGTTCAAGTATCCTGTTAAATAGTTAGCTCAAACCCTATGGATTTCTTCCCTTTCCTTCCAGATTTTATCTACTTTATCCCATTCAGTTAAGTTTCTTCACAGAACTAAAATTAGACACCATTGCTTTCTCAGTGTACAGTTATTTAGGCAGCTGCCCTAGAGACAATGATTCAGCACTCTTACAACTTCTGCTCTGCAAAAACATTCTAGATGTTTTTCTTTATCCAGAAAGGCCCTTCCTCACTAAATCATTTTATATACCCTTCCGCCAAGCTGGGCTGCCAAACACCCTTACCCATGAATGTTCCTATCTTCTTTTGCCAGTACCATCTCAAAACAGCAGAGGAAGTTAAAATACATGGAGTGACTTCTAGACATGTAACATGACAAATATACATGGATTGACTTCTAGACATGTAACATGACAAATAATCAACTAAGCACGTTACTTTTTAAACACAGCATTTGAATCTATCAAACGAGAACTTTACTGCATATGGCTTAATTCACTTCCTGTTACCTGGCAATAACTGTCCTGGACTCGTTCACATTCACAAGAAAACCATCAAGGAGTGGCACAAACATATCTGCCACATCTGAGACAACCATCATTTGCGGCTGGGCCAGTGAGCTCTTCACGTTATAGAAGTGTAACACTTTGTTGTAAGTGACAAATCCTACTCGAATGGCTGATTCTTCCATGTTGCCTTCCCTGTAAGAGACATACTTACACTTCGCATACAAGTGGACAGTGAAATCAGAGGCCCTCTTTGGGGCCAAAAGCCTGAGAGGGTCAAATAACTTAAATTTTTGGCACTTTAAAGGACAAAGTGACAGTCTTCCCCATTTTGACTAGCTACAACAACACACAATAAACCTACCTGGGCAGATAATCTAGAAGTGACTTTAATTCTTCACATATTAGCCTCACTAAGCCACTCTTCACAGCATTATAGGACACATCAATCATGAAAATGAAAGCAGGTGGACTGGGAAATTTGTTATTCTGTGGAAAGGGGGAAAAAAGTTATATTATGGCAACATGCAGCCCACAACAGCTCTGTAACATGGACAAAATGAATGCTGTTCAAAACTCTAATAGCCTGCATGCAGTTTCCACTCACAAGTCTCCACAAGGTCAGGTAACTTTCCCATTCCTGCCTAGCTAAAACAGGCACACAAAGCACACTAGGCTTGAAATGGATCAGTGCTAATGTGCCCCAGCTGCATTTTGGCATTGCTCAGTGAAGACAATGGCATCAACCATTTCTATGACTAGGCCAGACAGGGAAAGTAGAGAGGGAGGTTTCCTCACAGCTCTCAAGACTCTGGAATCTGACCAGACTTGTTTTACATGGTTTCTTGAATACAAAGCAAAAGATTTTCCTCTCTGAAAGATACCACCTTTTACTTCTCCCTAAATCTCAGGTTTGCTTTTGGGGGGCGGGGGAGGGGGAAGGGGAAGCTTCAGTCAACAGCTCTCTCTGCAGTCATATTGGAAGGACCGCACAGGACAAAAGCAAAACTGAAGAACTTCCAAAAACCTGGGAAGATCACATCTCATTTGTCTTAAAATGGATCTTAAGCTGTTATAATTGAGATGGTGGTTTTACCTTTACCTTAAACTAAACCTGAGGTGTCAGAAGGTAACTAGGATAAAGCTGCAACATTAGTCATCTATTTTCCCAGGGTGTATTTCAGCAAAGATATGAGTACTGATACACACTTTGTATCTATTTTTCCATTCCTCAGAAGTTCCATAGGATCTAAGTCTTCAATTTAAAGGTGAGCCAGCTCTGACAATACATATTTCCAGACTATTCCTGTAGTTTTAATCAGCATGGTTGTATCTGAAATTCAGTTTTGATACATAAAGCTTGTCTTATCCACCATATTATTTAGTCAGGATTGTAAACAAAGAGCTTTTTCCTTTTTTTTTTTTTTTTTTTTTTTTTTATCTTTTAAAAATAAAAAAAAAGTTTTTTTTTTTTTTTTTTTTTTTTTTTTTTTAACTCTGAACAATTAAAAACAATTAGAGGCAACTGAATCAAAGCAATATTGTGTGATGTGGGGTCAAGACTTCCTTTACTTTGATGAAGAAAACATGTAAGACAATGTCATTAATTATCTGCCAGCTAGAAGGCAGTCCCACAAAATTCACCCTGGTCTTACTTTAGGAAAGAGATTCTTTGTATTTAAAAAAACCAAAACAAATAAAATACAATCCAGTAATAAATGCACACTACTGTACCTTGCAGTAGTCTACTGTTGCCAGAAACTCATAAGACCCCAGTGATAATTCAGGGCGATCATAGAAGTCTACTCGCTTACCAGTATGATCCAAATGCTGGAAATAGTGAGGAGGTACTGAAGAAAGACAGACATCAAGTTCAGGGACACATCCACTATTAATACTTTCACTGTCTCTAGAGAGACAACATGACAACAGCTGGTTCAAATAAAACTGCAGGAAAGCTAGCTAGCGCTCTGTGCTATCACGCAAGCATTACCAAAAAAAAAAAAGGTCAAGCAAACTAAGAGTATCATTAAATCTAACAAATACAGACAAACTTCTTCCATTGCAAAGGTCACTGCAACATGCTCTTAGGATTCTTTAAGGATTTAGTCCAAAGGAAAGTAACTTAATCTTGTAAAAGTATTATCAAATGACCTACAGTGGAATTTGAGGTAAACTACTTGTTTCACCCTACATTCAGGCTTACCAAAAGATTAAGCTCCTCATTTTGCCAGTCAGGTGCTATAGGAGCTAGCTTTTTCTTTTCCTTCCTGTGCTGCACAAGAGAGAAGCCTACTAAGAAATCTCAGGTGCAGAGGCTGCCATAGCCCTTTTGTCAGAATAGAGAGGGTACTTCGTGTAGCACATTAAGGAGGAGGACTTGAACTTATAACCACATGCCCTGCTCCCAGTACTGTTGTGCTTGTCCCAGCCATCAGTAGGTTATATAGGAGTTTTCAAATAAACTGCAGATATGCCAGTAAAGATGTCAGCAACACTGAGTTTTAAAGTTCAGGTGCGCAGGCAGAAGTGCTTGCCTGGATCCATATACACTTTTTAATAAGAATGAGAGTTAAACTAAGTTTTTGCCTACAAAAGTCAGTTGCAGAAACAAAGAAAACATTTGCCTTCTGCCCCAAGAACTATCATGAGAGTCCCTGCTTCAGAATTGCCAAGGTGGCAAAGTATATTCCAGAGTATAGCTACCCATATAGCTTCAGAAGAGTAGGTTAATCTGTAATAACAGGTTTTATGACCTTAAAACTATTCTAAACATTCAACAGTTCAAAAGAAAGGAAACAAAGCTATATTATTGAGACTATACAAGCAGTTATCACTCTCTTCTCTGAATACACATCCAGTAAAAGAAATTACCTTATTTTTTCTTTTCCCCACAGAAAACAGAAGTTGTTCTTTAGCATTGCATACAACTACACTCTAGTTTCACAAGCATTTCTTTCATCAGCAGTCCCTCAGAATCCCTCCTTTTTCCCTGCCTGCTGAGTTGTGCTGGCATAACCATTTGTACTGCTGCTCAGTGAGCATATATAGGGAATGCATGCAGGCTGGAAAAAAAAAAATCACTAAACAAGCAAACAAAAAAGTTCAAACAAACTGGTCATTTCTCACCCAGATCAGTTTCTCATTTTCATTTGTCATGGACTTATAAAAACTGCTGTGCAGCATAACTGAGGTGATGAGACTAAACAGTCCACAGGCAGCTGGCTATTTAAAAAACATCAGCACTGCCAAATGAAACACTCAAAACATCACCTGTAGTTTTTTGTACCTTGCATTGCTCTGTGCATGAAAAACAAATCCACGGATGACGTGACATGAGCAGCACAGTGAATAGTACTTGTGCTTAGGAGGGAGCGTGTTTTATACTGATTCAGAAGAGCAAATAAACTGGTATTATACTGAACATTACTGTTCAACTGTAGCTAATTTAGCTGTGATATCATCCCATCCCTTTGCAGCATCTAAGCAGGCCTTGTAAGCTGAAAAAAAATCTTAACTCGTGCTGCTGAGTAGATGTTCATTTATCACAGCCTATCACAGAAAAACATAAATCTGAAATACTCCAAGAAAGTAGCACAAATAATTTCTCAAAATACCATATTATGCTATGAGTACCTCACGTTAAAAATTGTTCAGTATGAGAACACTGCAATGCATAAGCACCTAAAAAACTTGAACATCACCATCTCAGAACTGAGCACTGAACATGTTTTATAGCAGTATTTTTAGAAAAACAAGCATACATTGAAGCACAGTGTATGCTATACATTACTTTCACGCGATTAAGTTAATTCCCTTGCATCTTGTTCAAAGATCATTCCAATGCCTACAAGCCAACTTCCAGGAGAAGCCTTACCCTCAGTGACGCAGCTGCAGAAACAACACTGGAACCTCCTTCCACCCTCAATGAACTGCATAAAAGGGCACATGTAGGCCTTGCACCTATTACACCGGACAGGACCAGATTCCCCATGGTCTACCAAATAAGGAAGGGCCTGTGGAAGCAGGAGGAAAAAAGAAAACAAAGGTCATGTGATGATGAAGAAATGACCACACATATTGCAGAGCTAAAAACTATCTCCTTGTACACTACACAGGACTTAGCATTTTGGAAGCTAGGGGGTGAGAGGGGAGAGGAAATCTGAACAAACATTTCATAGATGCTTTTCAATTCAAGCTCTTAACACAGGTGTTCTTCTGTGGGCTGCAGACATTAACAGGCTATCCTGTATAGATCCAAACAAGTATTCCTGGCATGGTGTTGCACTATCTTATTTAGCAGCCTGCTTGAGGAGTACAAGCTCTCGTAGGAGTACCATATTGCACAGATGCATCCCAAGGGAACTCAAAAGACTGAAGCCATGCAAAGAATGGCTGTGAGAGCCTGACGGGAGCAAATATATAGTTTGCATTTCATTACAGCTTTTTTTTTTTTTTTAAAGCAGTTCTTTACCTCTTATATTTTCTCTTTGTACAAGCTTTTGACAAAATAATAAAAACTAGTCATTGCATTCCATATATTCAAGAACTTAAATCCAGATTGTCTTAAATTTCTACTGGTAAGTTTTACTTTTTAAAGCCCATCATGAAACAGAGTACATGCACAAGTTCTGCTTGTCTTGATCCGATAGTATAGCAAGGCCTCAAAACTGATATGTAGTTATATCATTTTTAAACTGTATACTAATAATACACTGACAGAACAGAATAGAGATGCTTAGCAACTTCTGCATTTTCTCAAACTCAGAAGGAGCAGGATGCAGTTTAGAATGATTAAGACAGAACTTTTGCAAGCTACAAGCTGTATTAATAGTTCAAAGCACCTTTTGTAACTGTAAGAACCTAGCTCAAAAGGAAATTCAACTACTGCTTTTAAACCTTCTCACATTAGAGATGTCAGATCATAATTCTCTCAGTAACCCTAAACTTCTGATCATGCTTAAGAGACAGCATATTCCTTGAGCAGGAGCTGAACAAGTGCCCCAGCCACTTTTTTCCCCCCTTTCTGCCCACAGATGTATCAAATCTTTCATTTGACCCCACTAGTCACTTACTGCAGTATAATGGTTTCATGGCCAATGTTTTTTCAGCTCCTACGCCATGCTGACCTGGTCCAAGGCAACAGAATTTCAGGTTTTCTGACCGTTAGGTGATGTTGGTATAGTGCTTTCACAGAATAAGCCTTTTTTCCTCTCAGCCTTTCCCCCAGTAGCATTCATGCAAACAAACTACCAGAGGTGCTGTAAACACGCACAGTACTACACATAACCTGTTACTAACCACTTACTCCCCGGTGGGGGTTCAAGTAAGAAGTATTACTGTGCCAAAGTTTGCTTTCTGAACTGTGCATTAACACAGAACAAAGGTCCTATATCTGGTCAGCAGGTGCTGAATTTTACAGATTCTAGATTTATCTTAATGTTGTATTTTCACCAGTCACATTTATCCTCTCATTTCTGATATTTTAAGCTTTAGCTCTACTTACAGAGTCGTACGGTTCTGAACAGCTGAGCCATCACCTGTTAGATGGCCCCTTACAAAGGGAGTTTACCCTTGCTATAGGGAACTTTCCAGTGCTGGAAGCTTACTGGTCTCCAGGACAGTTTTCTGATCTACCCTTGTTTGTACTGGCTATCAACAGTGTTTGTTCAATGCATAAACACACCAGGAGAGCTAACAACTAGATGTTTGTAACATTTCCTCTCTATGGATTTGCAGCTTACAAGCCTCCAAGTTTCTAAACTGAGACCACATTCTCTTGTTGTGCTCCTTTTAGACTCTAGCCACAACACAGGAACTAACTGCACAACTCAGTTTTATCACAATCAGATTCTCAAAATCCAAACTATAGTTTAGGGACATTAATAAAACATAAGAAACTTAAAAATCCAAACAGTCCCTTCCTCAGCAGATGCTAACGTTAAGTGTAACAGGGCACAGAGCACTGCCAGCGCACATATTCAAATTTCACAACAAGCACATTTGTCTTTTTGTCACTGCAGCAAGCAGGCCTGCAGTAAACTATAACCAGACTCTATTCAAAATACTTTTTATAGAATTTCTAGCTCTGTAGTACTCCAGAAGCTTTCATCTTCAACAACTAGATAGAGTATGTAAAAGACCAGCCACACATTCCACTCTGAAGGAAGTGCTGTACGCAGAAAGGGCAGAAACATAACAATAGTTCAGCAGTGCCTCGTACTCAGTCTTGTGCTCTCGCTCATCCCACACAGCGCTCTGCATGCGCATGCACGTTAGACAGCTTAACCAGAGCTGCCTGGTACAGTCTCATCTAATTCCACAGCTTGACCTCCTAAGAAAGATTTCATTTCAATGTTTAGTAACCATTTAAATACTGTAGGGTGAAAAAGAAAACAAGATGAACTGGAAGTACATGCCTTTGTTATCATTCCAGTACTTGGGTCATTTGGTCAGACTGCTTGACAAAGACCTCAAATGCAAGGGCTTACATTATCATAGCGATAAAATCTTAGGTATTTTGAACGCTATATTCTTCTGCCTAACAGATCTCTAACACCACGTGTGTCAGAACTAACGTTTGCTCAGTCTTCATTAGCTAAGCGTTTCTTCTGTCAAAATTCAAATGGTTTGTCTGCTAAATGCGGACATTTAACAGCATTCTCCTGAGGAGTTCAGTGCTTTAACTCCACATACAGTTCTTACCTCCTCTGGGGGTAGAGTAGCCAATGGTTTTATGACAGCAGCTAGGGGAACTTGGGATTGTTTGGCCATATCTGAGGTGCAGGGAATATTGTAAGATGTGCATCTTATGTAGCGGGGGCTTGCGTTACCTGGGGGGGGGGGGGGGGGAGAGGAGGGGAAAGAAAACAAAAACCAACAAAAATAACACATGCATTTCAGCACAAGTTAAGTTCATACGCAAGACAAAATAACTGAGGATACCTTTAATTCTATTAAAGCTGTAGATACTAAGTCATAAAGACAATCAGTTAATGTCAATCTAAGTAAAACTTGAATTCCATACAGAATATCGTCTCACGATTAACTACAGATAATCCAAAACAAGTCAACCTGCCCGACTCCATATAAGCTCAATCCTCTATAAGGCACGCGTGTTCCATTCTTTTTGCAGACTAAAACATACCACAGGCAGCAATCTGAACTCAAATGTTTCTAATGTTGGAGCACGTAATTCTAGTTGAAAAGAATAGGATTCTAAGGTTTTAAGGGAGCTTAAATTCACGGTAAATTGAGGCCGTGATTTTAGTAAATACTGACGCGATACAAAAAAAAAGATGAAATCCCCCTTTTCTTTGAAACCCATAGACCAAATGACATCTCACTCATGATTCAACAAAACACTATGTTTCCAGTCCAACATGATATTGCTAGTACATTTCAGTCCAAAACTATTGCAATGCAGCAATACACAAGAAGCTTCATTTATTGCTTCCCAATATCCCTGCTAATGTTGGTCCCAAGTACCTGCCTTAGAACACATCAGTTGTCTTTACTTGCTAATTGGTTACTAGTTGCCATTCAACAGAACCTAAGTTGAGATCAGATTAACAGAGGACTTGAAAATAAATTTCTCTTGGTAAACCACACATCCCCAGCCCCTGAAAACATTTCCCAAACTTTTCCAATTCCCCTTTTCCTTCTTTTTTTTTTTTTTTTAAACTAAAGATATAGACAGTTCTGTCACTGAGTCTTTGGGGTTTGCGTTTCATTTATTCACAAAAGGAACAATGTTTTACCTTGATCCTTGACCAAGAAATTTGTAGTAACAAGAGGTGGGACCTGCCCTCTCACTCCAGTGACAAATGGTTCTGATCCACGGTTACTTCTGTCATCTTCAATCACTTGAATCTATGATGGAAAATACCATGTTAACCTTTCAAGTCCTGGTTTCAAAGTACTGTAGAATACAAAATGTGTATCTATAAGGTAGTGAAAAAGGGACCTGAGACAAACATTACTAGCTCTAAAAACAAGAAGCCTAAAGCAATTAAGTTTTGCCAAGCAGTCACCTCTCAGTTTGATTTGGAATAATACAGAATGATTTTAACAATAAAAAAACCACAAGTCACAAATAGTAGTTTTTCCAAATATTTTGAGTAGTAACATATTCTGTTTTTTAAGGTCTGATCTGGATTCATAAAAGCTGAATTCAGATGAGGAAAAGAATTTTTGATAGTATTCCTCTGTTTACTGGCCCCCTGCTAAGTTAAAATCAGAAGCTTCTGTAAGCCTTAGGGCCTTCTGTAAGCCTGGACATGACATCTTTTCTTTTCCCTGCTTTTCCTCTGTTATGTTCCCAGAGTTTTCATATGCTGTCCAATGCAGCTTTGGCCTAAAGACATATGCCTGCAAGCTCAAGTGAAAGTGATCATTGCTTCCCAACGCCCAAGAGTTCATGCTTTTAAATCTGGGGATGTGAAAAGTGAAGCTGCAGCAGACTTAATGATTCAAGTTTAAACCTCACAAAACTAGTAAAAATATCTTAAATTTCTTAGTATTTCAACTTCTTCACTAACACAGACGTACTCAAGATCATTGAAATACATTAAACTGTTTTACTTGACTAAAATATCCACTGAACTTTGCATAAGAAGAGATTGTTGTTATACACTGTTTTAAACTACCTTTTCCATACCAATGCCCGAGTCAAAGCATTAAAGCTTGCAACCACTCTACTGATCGTATTTTGCTATCAAACATGCATGCCTTTACTCACAGTGTACTCTGAAACGCACGAGTTTGTATGGCAGAGTTTTTATCTTTCACATTACAAATTCCAAGTTGCCAGTAGAAAGCCTGCCACGGCATTGGATAGTTACCACTCTAAAATAAATGTAGTCCCATCTCAAAAATCTACACATTGACTGATGCTGGCACCACCACTACTGGTATCTGTAATGTGACCAACTCTGGCCAACTAAATGAGGAAGAAGTGATATGCAGGTAACAATTCTAATCCATTTTTCCCTTCCAACCCAAAAGGTAGCTGCTTTTTCCTTCTTTATTCTCTAGACATAACCATTATGTTTTCAAGTTCAAAATTTAATGATTATGTATGAGCACAGATAATGAAAGAATGTTTATAGCTTCCCATACCTCATATTAATCTACCAAAAAATTGGAACAGGAATTAACATCAAAACAAAATAGTTTCTTCTCATGTTGAGAACTTCAAAGCGTTAGCCTAGTACTGGCACATCAACAAGAACAGTAATCAAATTTTGCTCAAAATTGGTAGAACACATGACTACAAAAGTTCATGCTGTGCGTATGTTAACACAGGACACATTGTATGGACAATTATATGATGGCTTACACTCTGAAAACGCCAATTGAAATTTGATGAAGGAGATACTTTAAGGATCAGACAAAGTGAAAGGGAAACATTCTTCATGATCTGTTTTTGAAACTATCTGCTTTATATTGCCCCACCATTCATCACAGAAGAGAAGACTTAACCTCTTGTGATGTTACGTTACACACTTTGATAAGGCAAGCAGAAGACAGCAAGGAAAGGAAAAAGGATTAATGATGAGGGTTAGTGAGGTGAGGTTTAGGTTTCAGGCATGCACAGATGGTCACCAACACAGACTACAGCAGACACATATATACAGCACTTACTGGACTAGGAATTGCATCTGGATCTATTCTGTGCCTGGGTTTCTGCTGAGGTGGCAGCTCATTAAGTTGCTTTTTTTTTTAAAAAAAAAAAAAAAAGAGTGCCACAAAAAAAAGAGAGAGAATAATAAAACAAGAAGTAACAGTGTTACTTTTCTCTACCCAAATCCATAGCACTGGAATTAGATATCTACATTGGACATTGGTTCATGCAACAAAAGGAAAAGAAACACACCTGCTTCTGCAGCATACACTGATCCCAAAAATCAGTCTTGTCATAGTATTGGGCCTGGGATCTGAACACGTTGCTAACAGATGTAGTGGCTCACGTGCTTGTTTGTTAGAAATTGGAGATTTATGCTTCAAGAGCATGTTAAAACGAAGGCAAATGATACAAGCCATTTGAGATCTCATTTAGTGGAAGAGAAAAGAAGCAGCCAAGCATTTTAAAGATTTCTTATATTCCTTTAAAAAATAAGGTCATAAACATTATATAAACTTGGAGTCTAAAAATATAATCAATGAGTTTTTGAATCGCGCCAATTAAGATCTAAGTAATAATTCAAAACTAAATTATTTTTATGTAGTTTTACAGTGAACTGATTGTAAGCATTACCCTTGAAAAGTTTTATTGACATCAAATGATTGTGGCCTTTTGAAACGATGACAGAACAGCACTGGGATTAGCAGAAGGAGCAACGCAGCAGACTAGTAGCAATAATTCCACCAGTCTTAATATTACTCATCATGACTAACCATTACATATAACTACTTGTCCTTTCTCACAACCCTGCTTCAGAATAACCCCAATTTGAGGAGGTGTCCATATTTGTCTGAATTAGTAACATAATTTTAATGGCCCCAAAGCTAGCTAGCTTTTTGACAGATTATAAGATGAATAAGGGAAAGGAAAGGCAATAAAAGGAACCCTACTTTGAACTTATTCATAGATCATCCCCTCAAAACCAGAAATAAGTTCACTTTGGAAAGTCATGAAGCAAGAATCTGGAAATGGTGAAGCAAGCTTAATTAAAGCCCTCAAGGATTCCCAAAACATAAGGCAATACAGAAAAAAACCTGATGAATTAGAGCAGTAATTTGCATATGCAGTGCCTTTCTTTAGTCAAAAAACCCCAAAAACCAAAAAACCAAACCATCACACCCACACCAACACCCTGCTTCTTGAAGCAGGATACACAGAAAGGAAAACAATAAGGCAGACTGATGTTCCTTGGAAAAAGAAACTTACTTTCAGCTTTGATCTTTGTCAATTCTATTTTATGCAAAGATACTACGGAAGAGTTTACACTGGTAAGAGCAAAGTAAGCTTACAGGGCTAGGAATGGAATCTGGATCCAAGCGTTTTGGTGGAGGTGGTGGTCCAGGCTGGCTTCCATAATTTGGACTTCCTGGATAGGCTCCTCCATAGCTTGGTTGTGGACCCCTTGCCTGTCCAAAGGAACCTTACAAGAAAGGGACACTAGAATTAAGCAATGGCTAATACTAGGCATTTCCTCATTAGGCATTTCTCATTTTTTCCGGAAATCATCAAGAACACGAAATAGAAAGCTACTTGCTTTCGAGTTAATTAGGATTAAATAGATTTATCACAATGCTTAGCTTAGACCTGTATATCTCTATCAATGGTCCAATAAATAACTGACAGACACAATCCTCCTTAAAACCAGGCTTGAGAAATACTTATTTCAGGGAGGTATATATTTTTAGACTAATGTAACTATTTTTAGAATAATGTAACTAAAATTTGCATTAAGATCATGTGTAAATTGCACTATGAACATTCAGTTTAAATTGCAGAACTGCTTAACAAAGTGGAAACAAAACAGCCAAATAGCCAATAAATGGCTCAATTTCTTGAACTACATGCAAAGAGGTCTCTTGGGCAGTTTCGACTTATCTGAAATCACAGCAATAGTTTAATTTGTGATCATTTCTTTTGTTTTGTAATGGCCTGAAATTATTTCCTTCACACAATGTTAGTCTGTTATGGAATAACGGCATCATTCATCACACCAGTGTTTTTACAGTTTGTATTAATACGGACAGATGTTTTAAACAAGTAGTTCACCTGGCCGGTTGTGCTAAGCTGCATCAGGGACAGGATTCTTATTCCTGATCTTTATGGGTGATTATTTTCTCCTAGCTATTTATAAATATTGCTGATGAAAAACAGTCAAAACTGTTTATAATCCAGAAAGTTTAACTAGTATTCATTACTTTCACACATGAAGTGTGAAAGGTTCTACAAGGAGAAAAATGTACAGTTTTGTGATTTGTCTTGTTTTGTGAATTAAAGGAGAAGCAGCAACTCCTTTGCAATGTATCACAACTCCTTTCATTCGCATCGTACACACACGCCAGTCACAAATTAAAGAACAAGAGAGATTGATGCTTTCAGGATTTCAAATCTCTACTCTTGAATAGATGAGATTGCAGATACCAAATTCATCGAAGTTCATACTACAATTCTGATCACAAATTCTTGTAGTATTATGGTACTAAATATCAAAAAACTTATTGATCAAGTAAGCTAGGATTCTTTTAGTTACATTGGTCCGATTAAAACCTATATAACAAGTAGCTTAGAATGACACATCCTACTGCTTGTTTTAGATTTGTCCTTTAGACAAAAGCAGAGCAAAGCTTAAATTGCAGCCAGGAGCCTACAAGGTACAAACCTGAACTATAGTTCTCAATCTGCAGCACACAAACATCTGACTTACAACCCCTATACTGAGAATACTCACCATTCTGCTGCATTTGGTATCCTGGCTGAGGAGGATGTGTGGGAGGAGGTGGTCCATGGAGGCCACTCATGGGAGGAGGCCCTGGGTGAGGCCCTGACATAGTTGAGGGAGGTGGTGGCGAGGATACATGATTAGGCTGGGATGCTGGTGGTCCAGCAACTGTCTGCCCAGGCAGTGGTGGGCCTTGCATGGGAGAAGGCCTTGGGGCGCCTGTGGTAGGAGGGTACAAGGAAGGTCCAATCCCTGTAGAAGAGGGAGGTGGGGCAAAACCAGGGACTTGAGTAGGAAGGCGCTGAGTTGACATTGGCTGACCAGAAAAAGGAGGCTGTGCCAAAGGAAGACCCTGAGACACACTGGTAGGAGGGGGTCCTTGGCTCGAAGTGTAAGGTGTGTAGAGACCAGATCCTGTTGCAGTAAAGCTTCCTGAGACTGGGGGAACCGATGTTGGGGGACCTGATAAGAAGAAAAGAAGTTATTACTATCATTTGCTTCTATCCTCAAGACAGTTATTCCCAAACATGGTTCGGAAGACACAAAACCCATTTGCTCTAGAGCATCTAAACTAGCTCTACCACCTTCTCATCTTCAGATGGACATTCCAGTTTTCATAAAGACAAACCTTAAGTGAATGTTCCCTTAAATTGATTAGAGGGAACTGAACCTCCTACAAAGGATCTGGAACTTGATAGTTCCTTCGTCATTCCCTCCCAAACTCAGAGCGTCTTATTTTACATAAGCATGATAGATTTCAGGATTGAAGGCCAGAATAAAGAGGTAAAGCCAGAAGTATGCAAAACAAGAACAATCACATGACTGTCTAGTGATTTCTTGAACCAAACTAAGTTTAAATCTCAAACTCCACAATGAATTGGAGCCTGTAGTTCAACAACAGTTTTGAACTTTATGGCTTTAATACCATGGAATTATCATCTAGTATATTTACTCTGAACTGCTTCTGAGAAGAATTTTAGATAAATATATTGCTAAAGGCTGGAAAAATCTACATCTCCTACTCCTAATTTTCCTATAAATATAAAGTGTCTATGTTAGACAATGACAGATGCTTTTAAAAACTGTTTTAATAAAACAGTTCAAAAAAAATTAGAGTGTAGTAAGACTAGTTTACACACACTAAAGACAAATCTCTGGTCCTCACATTAAAAAAAAAAAAAAACATGTAATCTACAGTAGAGGGATTAGAACTAACCAAAGAGAACGAAGGGCCCAAATTCAGCTTATACTTGTATAAGCATGTTTCTTCCCAACTTCCAGCGAAACTCTCCACTGAATCATTCACAATTTCAACCCTTTGTGAATTACTGAACTCCTTTCCCTTTATTTGACTGGGCTGTTGCTGATACCTTACTTCAGGATAGACTGCTTCTGTGCTTCATGTAAAGATTAATCTAGTCAACTAATGAAAGAGTATATCAATATGCCTCCTTGGTACTGCCTGCATTACCCCCTACAAAAGTCTCAGTTCGGTTTCCCAGTGATGACCCTATTAGTCAAACAAAACTACCATTTACTACAGCAGATGTCAGTGTCCAGAGAATTACCATCACCATATGAAAAAGAGCAACTGCCCACCAAGAGCCGCTCTCTTATGAGATTACTAGCACAGATGAAAAGCAATAGTGTATCTATATAGCCAGAAAATCTCACCATAGCCCAGTCCAGCTGGGGGAGGAGCAGAAGTTGAAGTACTGCCAATTGTCATCCCTGCCATGTGATTGCTGAGCTGTTGTGCACTGGCTGGGGGGGGACCATATTGCTGGAACGTAGATGGCTGGCTGACAGGCGTGGGTGCTGAGCTGGGCAGAAATGGCTGAGAAGCAGGCGGCCTGCAAGGGAAGATGCGAAACTTCTCTGGATTCCTCGTTACACAAGCAGTTACAATTCTCCATGCCACTTAAATGCTAGCTGGGTAACAATTACTCACGTGAGGTAAAAACTAAGCACCATAGCTCAGCTTCCGAAAAATAATTACACAAATCTGATTCTCTGTCATCAAAAAAGCCATTTGTTCTACAAGCACTGTATTTATAGCATGTTTTTTGTTAACTCTATTTTAGCGACTGCAACAAGTCAGAACTACTGCAGCAGAGACTAGAGGGTGAGAGCAACAGTCCAGCTTGCACAGTGATACAAGTCATCTCTCTTCCTCAAAGAATTCAGACACTCCACTTGATAGCGCTAAGCTTAGTCAAGAGGAAACAAGAGACAACCACTTTCCTCCCAGTCAAAGGGATAAGCACTATGCAACAAGGACTGCTGCCTCTTCCACCCCACTGGTCATGGCTGCGTCTTTCTGGAGAAGATGCCCAAGAGCTTTAGACGAAGACAACTCAGGGATCACTAGGGACAGACAAGAACTAAGGAGTTACTGAGTAACGACAGATAGTAACATGTTCCAAACAGAGACAGATTCACACTCCCAAGAAACCGAACACAACCACTACATGCACACGAATGTATTAAAACAAGACAGATTATCGAGTCTGGAAGTTCCGTACGGGAAAACGACCACTGCGAAGGAAAGCCAAGCCTTTGAAGGAGAAGTGGCTTTGATCAACCACAGTCACTAAAATCTGCTCACATCCTTCCATCTGCAGAGATCCATGTTTTCTAAAAGATATCCCTATGGCTAGGGATCCCTATCCCTGTTTCAAAACAGTAAGCAAGCAATAAAGAAACTTAACATCCACCACAGGAAAAACGAAGTATTTAGTTTTCTTAGATCCCCAGCGTATCAATGAACTTTTAACATTCAAAAACACAAAAACAGGCCATGAAAGTCCAGGGTTTATTGTATTTTACTAGTAATGTTCCTCAAATGGTAAAAATGACTGTTCAATAAGGCTGGCAAAGGGAACGGCATATCTGTAGCGACTAGTTTTCCATACTACTCTTGGACTGTCTATAACTGTGGATGGTAAGGTTCAAATGAGGTTGTCTGTAGGCAGTGACTGCATATAGCAATTGCCATTTTACAAAATAAAAATATTTAAGCAGAGTCAATGATGTACAGAACCTCCTTCAAATTTTGACAACTAATTATTAACATTTAAGACTGAACATTTAAGCAACCATGTTTTCAACTGGATGATTTCAGGTGGATCACCCGTCTAAGATAGCTTTATTCTAACCATATTCGTTTTATTTACTATGCACTGCAAACGCTCACCAGAAATAAAAGAGAGTTGAATTACCTATTAAGTTTGTCTTCATGAGCAACTCAGAACCCTCAGATGGATGGGACAGTAAGATATTCTGATAAGCAAGATTAGATTTTCAAAAAGCAGTATTACGATGGCATTAATAATTTGTGTTTCTGACAAACTTATCAAAAAGATCCCAGCTCATACCTAAGCAAGTAGAACTGACAAGGCTCACCATCTTTAAAACTATGATTGCTATTATTTCAACAGCTTCTTTTTGAAGCCTTTTTACAACCTGTGATAAAGGAGTCCAGAAAAAACAAAACAAAACAAAAAACTTAAAAAATAGAACAAGAAACCAAACAGATTTAAACTCCTTTACCCTTCTCCACGTCATGCTAATAGGGTAGGTCTACCAAGCTAGGCCTGTGTTACGGTTTGTTCTTTTTTTATGCACCTGTGCATCTGGGCTGCTGAGGCTGGAATCCCATTCTGCACATCTCCTTGTCCAAACTGACTGTATACTGGGTGTCCAGAAGAAAGAGATGCTCCAGAGGCTGGAGGGAGAGCTCCAGAGGCTGGAGGAGCTCTTAACAAACCTAGGAACATTAAAAAAAAAAAAATCATAATTACACTCAAAAGGCTTGAACTAGCAACCATGAAAAATTAAGGGAGGGGAAAAAAGCGTTCAAGAAGTTTAGCGATGGCCAAATCAACATATCAATACTCCACCAGTAGCAAATCATCCGTACAACTATATTATTAGTAGCAAAATTGAAAGTAAAAATATTTTTGGACAGCATCATTGGTCACATCTCCACAAAGATCAAGCAGAAAATAAGCATTGTGGAGGATCTTCAAAAGGCATTTTTATGTGAGCCTTTATCCCACTGTCAGTAAGATATTAAATGCCCCTCCTCACCAAGAGTGCAATTATTTTTAATCCAAAGCAAGGAAAGTATTCACATGGAATCTAATGTTCCTGGCAGGTCAGTTTTCACCACCTGCAGAGCAAGTAGGTTTTGCAAGTAGATACATAGTATTTTAGATTGCTTTCTACTACCTGATTCTGAACAATACGTAATGGGGGCCAATACAGACTTTTCCCCCCCAACCTCTCAAGGCTGGGGATTAACAGGAATATTTTCTCATTTTTCAGACTGAACTGGTTCAGTCACAGCACAGACATGTTTGCCTCGGAATCAAGTCTCTTCTCTTCCCAGAGGCTGCACAACATAATGCCAGCAGAGCAACTGCAGCATCTACTTCCAGAGTACAAACTACTATTTAAACATGATCATGTTAAAAAACACTGATAATTACAACCATACAACCATGCCATCTAACCACAAAGGAACATATTTGGTGTACGGGGTACAGTTAAATGCAGATGACTCCAGACATCGCAAGCCACCATATGAGATCCAGGCAGCATTCGGTGGCCTCTCTGAGGGAGGCCTGTGTATGACAAGTTTACGGGGGTCTCTGAAACTTTCTTGGGAGGAGCCATTACAAAATAGGAAGCACATAAGAGAAACCACTTCTCAATTCTACAGCACAATTTATACACGAGAACATCAGGCTTCAGCTTATGTATGTTTTTATCTTTTCTGCTATATTTAAGCCTTAGCAAGCTCACGGAAGTAAATTCAAAAAAGTAACTACACCCTGTGTGGATATCCAGTATTTCCTATTTCTTTTTAAAAAGTCCTTCTGAAACTCCTTTTGTTCTCTTCATGGAGACTTAGGACTTAATCATGTCCAAATAAATTTATTATTTTTTATATACCATCATCTTTTCACATCTTATCTTTTCTAAATTATTGTTATAACATCTTCTTGTTCCTGTGGCCAAGCATTTCCTCTTCTCTAACCATTTGTGTATTGTCTCTGTGGTATTTCTATTTCCGAATGTCTTTTGTGATTTTTTTTAAAGCTAATTTGATATACTTTCCTATTTTGGAATATTTTTCCTTTGATGGTACATATAAACTGTTTGGAATTGTTACCTTTTGAGTTTGAAAGCACTTTTAATCCAATTTCTGGAGGATTCCTAAATTTTTTTTTGTTTGTTTGTTTAACATTAAGTTTCTATAATTGTTTCAGCTTTAACAGGCATACAATTTACATCTGAAGAACATGGTCAATTCAGAAAAGGCTTCAGTAGTCTTTTTCTAGTCCTTATCACAAATATTTCTTTAATCATTTCCACAAATTGCTCAAAAAGTCATTGAAGAAATTCACTTGATCTAGTGGCTTATTATCTCAAGATTCATTACCCTTGAGGAATACTGAAGTTCCCCTTCAACGCCTTCAAGATACTGTTCTTACTCACGACAGACCTCAAAATGGAGGCAGATTACAGCATACTTGGAAACACCTGTGACTTTACTCAAAGCCTTGAGACTATCTCATCCACCATTAAACATGGACTTGGCCCAATTTTGACTCCCAACTGTTCTAAATGAACAGACACTACTGTAAACAGCTCTTGCAAAACACCACTACTTGGAAGGAAGGAAAAATACAATATGATTTCTTGCAGTGTTTCTAATTCTTGCATCTTAATTGCTAACTTCGCAAAAAAGATTTCCTCCTTCAAGCCACAGCTTCTGTAATCATAAATATTCCAAACATATACTGGGTTTCTATGCTCTATGCAAGAAAGCTAAAAAGTTTTTTTCTTTAAATGAAAACTAGAGTTAGCAAAACGTCATGACTTTCAAGACCAAAATCCTGGTACTTTGGAAGATTTTTCATTTCTTTGTTGCAATGCTTTAGAGAACGTTACAATTGTGTCAAACTTTGCATTCCAGTTCTCTCTCAGATGAGAGACTGCTTGCTTTTAAACTAGGGCTTCCCCCTGACAGAACCTGAATGGGCCAATTCAGGTTTTGAAATCAACGTTCGGAATACATTAGTCACAAATCAGTTTATCTACGAATCTGCAGGCATAAGGGTTTTCTACTAGGATTGTTTCTTCATATCCTATTTATGTTTTTGGAGCGCTGCCTACAGAGTGAGAAGTGTGCCACCCGCCTCCTCTGCCTGAATAATCAGGTACCCACACCTTTGAGATAAATATCCGTATTGAATGGTCACTTAGCACAAAAGCTGCTTAACACAACCACCCTCTTCCCCACAGCAGGAGCAGCACAGCACAAACACTCCCACAGAAAGGACACTATTTACCTACGAAATTAGGTGCAAGAGAAGAAGTGTCAGAGTTGAGAGAAACAGGAGAGCCCTTCGAAGGGAACCCCAAGGAAGGAAAGTAACCTGGAAAGACAGAATACACCAGTATATCAACCCTGAGAGATGGCATCAAGAGACAGTGTTCCCAGTGATGAGGGCATTCCACACAGCACAGAAAATACCATGTATGTACAAATCCATGTCACATTTGCTATTTATTCTTGATGCTCTACTCTCTCTCACTGTCCTACCACCCATAACATACGCTACCAATATACCAATACAACTGCATATTCTAACATGAACACAACTAGTATCATAAACTGAGTCTACATAAAATACACCAGAAGCAACTTTAGAGTCACTGGCATTCAGACAATTGCATAGTAGCACTTTCAACTGCAATGACCTTGTTAGAAGGAGAGCTGTCTCCTATAAAAGGATGGTAAAAAATCATCCAAATTCTTTTAACCTTTTGCTAGCAAGTAGCAGCTACTTTCAGCTAAGCACAGCACTCCACTTCTGTTCCCGAGTGAGGCTATTGTCACTGGCACAGCACTTTCACATTTCCATCAATTAGAAGTAAAGGTTTATCACCTAAGTCACATGTGAAAGCTGGACTTCTCCCTGCCTGAGGATGGTATCTGCTCCCAACACTTCTCCACTCAGGCCTCAAAGCCCTCTTTACTGTTATTTTTAAAATATGCCCCTAAGACAACTACTTTGAGGTCACAGAGTAGCATTGACCGCTCTCTCTTTAGCCCTCTGTGCTCATAAAATTCCTGTCAAACTCTGGTGCCTCTGGAATTAATTCTCTTCCCTCTACATCATGCAACCATAAGAAAGTCTCACTACAATAACCTGAAAAAAAAAACAAGAAGTGTTAGAGGGGTAGAAAGGATAACTGGCTTTGAAAAAAGGCAGGAACTCATCATCACCCAAGGAACATATGCACAACAGAGGGAAAAAGAAATCTCTGGGAGTCCCTTTCCATTCTTGACTCTTCTTTAGAGCTGCTTCCACCAAGAAAGCAATACTTGATCAGGTTTATGAGGTTCTTGATAATGGAACGCTTGTCAAAAGATTATATATAAAGACCTATTTTATGTTCCAGTAAAAGTTAAAATGCAGATCTGTACTAATTATAGTGCTTTCATGGTCCTTAAGTTCTCACTATCACTTCTCTGCTCTCTTTGGTAACGCGTTGCTTGTCTTCCACTCTTTCCCACCCAGATCTCATATTCAACAGTTACCAACAGATCAACTTCTGACTGCTGTATGCTAGTGCTCTGCATTTTATATTTCATTCTTCTAAAGACAAGGATCTTGAGTGTACAAGAACAACAGGTATGAAATGAGCAACATGGCAACTGAGATTTCCTCAGTACAGTCTACTAACAGAGCTTCTACTGCTAAGAAGGATGATCTCAGAAGAAAAGACGGAAGAGGAACCTCCTGCACAAACTATGACCAGCCTTTGCCTGACACATCAATAAAGTAAAAGAGATGTTTACAGCTAGTACAACACACTCCTGTTGCGATCCATCATGGCACCAGTGTGATACCAGCTTTTTCTTTTAGTCGCTATCGCCATGAACAAGATGTGAGTTTGCAATCCACTAACGTTTGTAGGTTTATGTGCCAGGCTAGCTACTGTCCTTACTCAACTGTCATTAATTAAATTTCTGTTGTTCTGAAACCTAAAAAAAGTCAAAATAGAAGAGTCAAAAAAAACATTTACTTCTCTTAAAAAGAAATGCCCTTTAGACTTGCAGACCACTTTTGAACTATCAGACAGAAAACGTTTAGCTATGCTTCTTTTCACAAACATCCTAAACAGTCACTAGAAGTTCTTCACGCTGATGACAGCTAGAAATCAAGTTGTTCTGTAAATAACAGCACTGATGAAAATTTTCCAACAAATCTGTAGTAATCTTTATCCTCCTTGAATCTCCTTCACTCCCTCAATGAAGTAAGTCCAGTTCCTCCCTGTTCCTTCCACGAACACGGAACACCAATCAGTCGGGCTATAGAAGCACTTGGCTGGCTGGGCCCGCAGCCAAATAGAGCACTCCATTACTGAGCTCTGCCTGCCTCTTCTACAGAAGCAAGGTTTCTTTCATCTGCCCAGTACTGATTTTCATTACTTCTATAAGAATTTAAAACCTCTGAAATTAGTTCAAAATTCACAGATTAAAAGTGCTGTTGGATGAAATTTATTGGGGGAAGGGAAGGAAGAGATTAAGGAAAGAAGAGGGAGACAGACAACTGAATAACCCATTCTTTAGTACACCACACTAACCCCTCTTCCACTCCACTCCTTTACCTGCTAACCCAAGATAGGGGGGGGGGGAACCCACACACAGCAGGATAACTGTTCAGCTCCTATTGGAATCTCTTTCTCAGGGACACAGATTTCAATCTCTCCCTTCTGCTAGTTTCAAGATAACTGTAGGTACTTCGCTTTTTCTACCGTTCTCATCAAGTTTGGTTTAAATTTCAAAAAGTTGCAAAAAAAAAATCAAAATTTACTTGGAGGGGGAAATGACACAGAGACCATCAGCATGATTAGCACATTTCTCATTGCCTTAGAAAACCAATCTGAAATCTAAACAAATATCTCAGAGTGAAAGTTTGTGTTCTTAACTCAGTCGCACTGAATTCATACAGATATCACCTACAAGGCAGAAACACTTCTACTCAGAACAACAGTATTCTCTCCTATACAATATTTCGGATATCGTCTTCCATCTCCCAAAACAATACAGGTATTCAAAAAACAGACTCCTCAGAGTTGCTTAGTAATGTTAAATAAGCCTTTATTTTGAAAGACATTAAAACAAAAATTGAATTACTTTGCAAAGAAAGAGATACAAGCTTAAACCTATTTTGCCTTTACAAAAGTGATATAACTGTGTAAAACTGAGAAAATTCTGAAACATACTAGCATGCCGCACATGTGTCTACACACTTTTTATTGGATTTAAAGACTTCAGAGAAACTAGCTCCACCAAACACGCTTTCCAGCTAGAGCTGTCTCTCTTAGTGTTTAGGACAGAGTGCGAGTCTTTCTATACATTAGTGTAACAGGTTTGTAACTGAGACTGCTTTACAAGTCCCTAACTGCCGTCCCTCAATACAACTTAATTAGGAAAATTGTTTTATTCAGGTTCTTCAGTACCACAGGGGCAGTGAAATACAGGAATAAAGAACGCTGTGCTTCTCAATATGTTAATTCTATAAGCTACAGAAGAAAAATAAACCATACAAAAATGGACAAATGACAGAGCAATACCCTCAGAACGTACAGAAAGAACATACTTTTTAACACCATGCATGCTATATACAAGAGCAAAGAGAAATACTACCACAAAATAAAAATTAGCAATAGGAGTCATCGCAAAAAACATTCTGTGAACGCAACAATTCACAGGTTATTAAATACAAAGTTTTGTGAAGTACCTTGTGGAGGGACTGGCTGTTGGTATCCTGGCATCGGACCGTTATAAGCTCCATATTGCGAGTGAGGAACCCCTGGCAATGGTTGTCCTCCATAGCCAGGCTGCTGGTATCCCTGATATCCAGGTTGAGGTTGCCCGTAAGGAGGCCCTGCGTGAGCTTGCTGGTTTACACTCATTGTATTCACATCCCCAAACTAATCTCACCTGCAAAAGAGGAGGAAAAATGGCTTTTAGCAGACATAAAACCAAACGGGCCAACTTCTCTACTGTTTTCACAGAAAAAGACCCTGAGATACTAGGGGAGATAATAGATTAGTAGTAAGTTACTCTTGCACAACAATTTTCCCAGTAAGATTAAAAAAATGCTTTAGAAAAGCTAGTTAAGGAACAATATGTACATAAACTATGCCTAACAATCAACTGACCAACTCTTCAGTACCGGTTAGACTTGTGATCACTTTCTTAGGAAAAAGAAATACACTCATAATTTGCCATTCTAAAACAGGTAGTTATCAAGCTTCCCAAAACGCCTTAAGAACTACTTCCAGCTCACAGATCAACAGACCAACGGAAAACAGATTTCATGACTCAGATGCAAGATTTCTTAACACTTCAGTAACACTCAACAAATTCAGCTTCCTGCTCTATGTTCTGTCTACTAGATCATGCATCCTTGCTAAAAGCAACACACTTTAGCATCCACAAAGGCTGCTTCTTGAAGCCTCCAGAAGATTCTAAACAAGGTCAAAACAGATTTTTTTTTTTTTTTTTAAATAGTGGACACTTTAAAGTTCTCATTATCACAGAATGGCCAAGAATGGCTGGACATCATCTAGTCCAACCTCTCTGCTCCAGCAGGGTCACCTAGAGCACATTACTCAGGACCCTGTCGAGATGGCTTCTGAATATCTCCAAGGAAGGAGACTCCACAACCTCTCTGGGCAACCTGGTTCAGCACTCTGTCATCCTCACAATAAGGAAGTTTTTCCTTATGTTTAGATGCAACTGCCTGTGTTTCAGTTTGTGCTCATTGCCTCTTGTCCTGTTGCTGAGTGCCACTGAGAAGAGCCTGGCCCCTTCCTCTGACACCCTCCCTTCAGATACTTATACACACTGATCAGATTCCCCTTTCAGTCTTGTCTTCGCCAGGCTAAACAGGCCCAGCTCTCTCAGCTTTTCCTCAAATAAGAGGAAAAGAGGCTCCAGTCCCTTCAGCATCTTAGTAGCCCTATGCTGGACTCGCTCCAGGAGCTCCATGTCTCTCTTGTGCTGGGGAGCCCAGCACTGGACACAGTACTCCAGATGAGGCCTCACCAGAACTCAATAGAAGGGCAGGATCACTCCACCTGCTGGCAACGTTCTTCCTAATGCATCCCAGGATACCCTTGGCCTTCTTGGCCACAAGAGCACATTGCTGCCTCATGCTTAACTTGTTCTCCACCAGGACTCCCAGGTCCTTCTCTGCAGAGCTGCTCTCCAGCAAGATAGCCCCCAGCCTGTACTGGGGCATGGGGTTATTCCTCCTCAGATGCAGGACCCTGCACTTCCCTGTATTGAACTTCATGAAGTTCCTCTCCACCCAACTCTGCCCTCCCAGTTTTGGATCATCAGCAAACTTGCTGAGGGTGCACTCTGTCCCTTCATCCAGGTCACTGATGAATAAATTGAACAATATTGGACCCAGTCACCCTGGGGTCACTGCTAGCTACAGGCCTCCAACTAGACTTTGTGCCACTGATCACAATCCTCTGAGCTCTGCCATTCAGCCAGCTCTCAGTCCACCTCACTGTCCACTCATCCAGCCCACACTTCCTGAGCTTACCTATGAGGACGTTACAGGACACAGTGTTGAAAGCCTTGCTGAAATCAAGGTAGACAATTATACGCATAATTGTTTCAGGAAATTGAAAGATTCCAAATGCAGCAAGCTCACCCAAGAAAGATGTTAAAAAAAAGAAAAGCATCCCAGGCAAAGATGTCACCAACAGATTTATACAGAAGAAGGAGACGTGTCAGAGACAGGACGAAAGTTTTCTGGAAAAGCCAAACACAAAGTGTTGCTTAACAGATGAATTCCTAATTCTTCTCTTTTGTACATATTACAGATTGACTAACTTTATAGAGAGAAAAATAAAAAAGACCATGGGAGACCCCAAAGCAAGCTGCCACTTCTTACAATATCACGGTCCCTAGCAGGCAGATATACCACAGACACCTCTCTAGCTGTGGAGAACCAAGGAGATCAGTTCAAGGGCAGGAGACTCCCTCATGGTCTATTTCTCAACCACACCCTGCATCCCCTGTTGTACTCCTTTAACTACATATAGCATTGTTTCCCTCCAACACAGCTCAGTCTGTATCTGTAGTAACATTGTAAACAAATGTGTGTTTGGAGAGCAAAAAAAACCTAAAGGCTGAGGTTTACATAAAAATACAGAGTTAAAATAAAGCAAATAACTTTAATTCTGCCCTCATATTTTGCGCCAAACCCTATGATGAACTTGTGCATTACAGAGATGCAGTAAATCCTAGCACAAACATGACAAACATTGCTGCAACAGCCATCAGCCTGTTGAGGTAAATACCAGCAAGGAATCTACACCTTAACTCAAGCAGTAACAAACGCATAAACTGTTTTGCCTATTCACTGATTTCAGTATGCCAACCAATGCTAATGTTTCTTATGCTATCAAAAACATAACCTCAAAGAATTATTTCAGCAATGGACACAACAGCTGTACAGAAAGGGTACTAAAATAACTATAGTTCTTTAAGAACCATCTACATAAAGACATTCTTGCAGAGCCATATATACATATTTTCCCTTGATATATCATAACAGAACAATCTAATAGCTTACAGAAGACAGTTTCCATTACATTAAGTTTCCATAGCTAATAAATACAACAAATGTGAATATAAAGCATGATAAAGCTTATTCAAAAATATCTAATTTTTAGATCTGAAGTAGGACTTAAAAGATTTTTGATGTGTATGTCACATTTTTTCAATCTTCATCTGCAGGTGACAACTCACATCAACATCAGCTCTACCACACATCTTTTAAACTTAACCTGAAAGGGAAAAAAAGCTTTGTATTTATTTTCTGCATGTTCTATTAAGGTAATGATAGGGATTTTGTTTCAAAATAAGAACTGTTCTATTAAATATTTAAAGTTAATTTACCCTTGGAAGTAACACAATGTTATTTGCAACAGCTTACAACAGTGTGACAGTGTGAATTTTTGATCAGCCTGTATTGTTTTAGAACACCTTCATACTGAGCCCGAGGGTCATTGCTAAAAATTTAGGTTTCCCACTCCACCTCTGACTTAATTCTGCAGAACAGTCTAACCTGGGCAGCCATGGGACCAAGAAATCTGGACTTTGGGAGCTGCTCCCCGCCCAGGTTCTCTTAAAGATTAACCTCTTTCTCCCCAGCTAGGCACTACCATCACATCGCAATCACAGACTTACCCCCTCCACTTTTCATTCAGTGCAAACAGCAAAGCAGGATAGTTCCTCCTGCAAGGTAGGAGCAAAGAGAAGGGAGAACATGGCAAGAGGACTGCTATATCTGAGCATCATGGGACATACAGGCAGCCGTTGCTGCTGAGGAAGAACTGCTGCTCGCTCGTTTCTTTTTTCTAAGTGCTGACTGCTGCTTATTAGACTGTGCACCCAAGGAGTTTGTTGGAGCAGTGACTAGAAGCCAAATAGCTCTCTTCCAGAAGAGCTGTAGACTAAGCAGGAGCATCCAGGAGGACACCTCCAGGACTACAATCATTAAGAGACTTCACAATTTACACCTACAAAATTCTACAGGAGTCACTGGAGATATCCCTGAACAGACCTGCTGTTTGCAGAAACAATTACTACAGGGCTAGAAAAGACCAATCAAGCCTTTTTTTTTTTTTTTAAATGGCAAGATGAGGGGGAAAAACCCTCAAAAGTATCCCTTGCAAACCATTTTTGACTTACTGATGAGCGTATATTTAGCTGGTGACCTTACCTGATGATCTTTTACTATTCTCTTTGTAGCCTTCACCTTCCCTCCCATGAATGTTATTCCCCACCTGAGTGGGTAGTAGCTGTTTGCTCCTCTTTCTCTCCTTAGCAATACTGAAACCAAGAGGCAAGCCTATTTAAGGCAAATCTAGAAGAACAAAGTTCTGAGAAAATAATTTCCTATGCTTTCTAGGTAAAAGTAGCTACATGAAGGAGATGTAGATAACAGAGAGAAGAGATAACTTAGCGCCCCCACTGAGAGAAAGTCAGGCCTTCACACATGCCATGTAGCAAGCAGCACACGCTAACCTCCAGCACAGCACAGGCTGATGCTTCCTCCAAAGTGGCGGAGGGTGAAAGAGGGAGGTGGAAAGGAGGAGGAAACACCTGAGATACCCAAGAAGCAGCCTGTGTCAAAGTTGGGGGAAAGGTTACTTTATTAGTTCAGTTGCTCAACTTGCTCTAAATGTAAAGCTAATGGCATGCTTGCTCATTACTGTTGCGGAGTATCACCGGGGCAAGACCAGAAGTATCCACATCAGAAGGCAAAAAACAGTTGTCACTGAATGAGTATCTGTTCCTTCTCCCTCAGGGAAGATAATTTTTAATCAAACAGCATTGAATTTTATTTGCCAAAAAAGATGCATTGAACTAGAAATTAGAACATGGTCATTTGAAGAGATATGGGAAGAAGAGAGATTTTATGCCCTATTTGCAATAACAAAAAAAAAAAAAAAAACAAGAACAGAAAGAACGTAATACGTATACTGGATAGGGAGAGGAGGAGTAAACGGTCACTTCTGCTTGATCAAAGTACTGAGGATATTTATTTGTAGGTGGTAACATGTTATTAAAACTGAGCTAAATGTAATATTAAAACATGCTGTTGAACATCACATTACTACACTCATCAGTTACAAAGTGTCAACAAATAAACAAAGCTCAAGTAAGTAGGACTGATACTAGTGTGAAAATATTATTACAACAAGCAGTCATCACTATAAATAACTGAAATCAGTTTCTGGCAAAACGTGAAGCAGTCACTCTCTACAGTTTTCTATTTCTCTGTACAAAAGGCAGTTGACCATGAAGGTTTTGTTCAAAATTGTGTTAGTGCAAATAGTTAAAATTTATACCAGGACACAGGTATGCAAGGCAGATAACTAGCGCTGATCAACACCAAACTGAAGGGGAAAAAAAAAGTTTATCGCT